GCTTTCAACCTATCATCCTAAATTCTCTACTTTTGATCACCCTACATATCTAGACAGTTGCCAGATCTTGTTGTTTATATTCACATTCTCCATTCACATAGTCACAAACCTAGTTGAAGCCTTCTTCATCTTTCATCTAGCCTATTGGAATAGCCTTCTCATTGGTCTCCCTGCCTCAAATATCTCCCCACTCCAATCCATCATCCACATGCCTGCTCAAGTGATTTTTACCAAAATGCACATCTTATCATGTCACCCCCATTCAATAAATTTCACTGGCTCTCTATTGAGTCTAGGTTCAAATACCAACTCCTCTAGGGTATAAGTATAAAGAATGAAACAGTCTCTACATGAAATAAACTTACAATTCTAATGGGGGAGACAAGTAACTATAAAGATATAGATCATAGGTATGAAGTTAATAAATACAAATACATACAAAGTAGTTCCAAAAGGAGGGTGGTGGCAGTTGTGGGGTTAGGAAAGGTTTCATGTAGAAGATGGTTTGAGATTCATCTTAAAGGAAGAGAAGAACTCTATGAAGAGAAAGTAGGAGGTGCATTCCAGTAATAATGGTATTGCAGCTCTTTGGAAAGTAGGATTGGGTCACAGGTTAGGCTTCAGATTCTAATGTTTCTTGCTGCCTCTCCCCCTCTCCCCAATCTCTAGAATGGGGATAGCCTGAGAGAAGCTCTATCTTGCAGTGCAATCAAAAAACCTAGCTGGTTTCAGCTCCTGACTATGTGCTGATTTTGTTGAATGAGGGCTAAGGAGTGAAAATCCCTACCACCCTTGGTTGAGGTAGGGCAAGACAAATTGGGAAGACTCCCAAGGCTTTGGTCATAGTCAGAGAAATATGGATTCCAACTAGGCCTGGCTGCTCTAGAATGGTGGCAGACAATTCCTGGGTCCTCCATAGGGATCTAACATCCTGGTTAGTAAGAGAGTTGGAGAACATCAGGAACTGGATCAAGGGCAAATGTAGGGTCAGGAAGTCAGACTTCTCAGCTCCACTGTCTAGGCCTGACCTGGATAGGCAAGTCTTATCTCCAGACCTGATAAGCACAAGCCAGCTTGAGGTGAGAGAGATGGTGGGGGTGAGACCATGCCTTCCAAAGGAACTGCTATCATTATACTCTCTCCCTATCTCCAGGTGGTTCACTCTACTTTTCTTTTTTTCCAGTTTTTGTTCTTTTTTTATGCTTCTTCCCTAATTATTCTTGATAAAATGAGGAAAGATTTGAATGAAATTTCATGAACGATAAAGGGACTTCTGGAGGATCTGATTTCCTTGGCTTCAAATTTAATACATTTATTTAAATTATTGATAAAAATGATCCAAATTATTTAAAATAAATTTATTATATTCATTTATTTATTTTCATTGTTCAGTCATCTTCACCAGAGGTCTAGCCTATTACTGTACATTTTCACTGTTCCCCCTCTCTGAAATCTAAAACAATGTTTGCCTATCTCCAGGCCCATTTCTCTTCCTAACTGATTCTTGATTAACTTGATTAACAGCAGTTCAACAATCCTATTTGCAAGTTCTTTAAGTACCGTGGAATGGAGTTATTCCTACTCAAGTGATTCCTCTTCATTTATTTTCTGTTTCAATTCCTTGTTAATAATTTTTGCCCTGTCTGGGACTCTTCTATCCTTGAGTTGACTTACAATTTCATGCCATGACTTCTATGAGCTCTTTGATATTTGAGTCCATGATTACTGTTTCTAGCCCTCCTTTTTTATCAGTCTCACTGTGAACTACAGAATACTTTTGTTACCATTTCTCGAGTATAAAAAAATACATTGTTTTGCTAAAACAAACTTCCCTCTCATCCCACCCCCCAATTTTGACATTAAAAAAAGTTAAACAAAACCATCTAGATAGTATGTATAACATTCTGCTCTGTAATATTCCATCAACTTCTTAACATAAAGGAAAGTAACACGCAATTAAAATCAGTCATCTGTAACCAGCATTGGTTATATGAATTTGATCTGAGTTGTTATCTTTTATTTCGTGGTACTTTCATTTATAACTGGAATAGTAAATAGAGTGCCAAGTATAGAGTTAGGAAGAATCATCTTCAGGAGTTCAAATGTGGCCTCAAACACTAACTAGCCCTGTGGCCCTGGGCAAATCACTTAACCCTGTTTGCCTCAGTTTCCTCACCTGTAAAATGGACTGGAGAAGGAAATGGCAAACCACTCCAATATCTTTGTCAAGAAAACCCCAAATGGATTCACGAGTAGTCAGACATGACTTAAAAAATGACTCAGCAAGGCATTGGGCATATTCTTTTAGTTGCTTTTTTCCCCCACTTTGTATCAGTTCATGCAATTCTTCCCATGATTCTCTGAAATGTTCATATTAATTGTACCTACTTTAAGCAATTTGGCATGAACTTATGTTCTTATTTCTTCTCTTCCTCTAAAAACCCCTTGACATCATCTGTCCTATTTTACACCAGTCTGACAAAGAGGTGGTCCTTCTTGCACTTGAATCCAGCCTCTCTCATCTCCAGCAGATTAGAAACTCCAATGTATCCCTCAAATCTTCAGTTTCTATCTACTGGTTCCTTCCCTACTGCCTTCAAACATATCCAAGTATCCTCCTATCCTTAAAAACCTTCATTAGACCACAATGTTGCCTCACATTATCATCTTGTATCTCTCTTCCCTCTCTCAGCCAACCCCTAGAAAAAGCTTTCCATCCTCACTGCCTCCACTTCTTCTCCCATAAGTCACTCCTCAGCCTTTTACACTCCAGCTTACAACTTGATCACTCAGTTGAAACTGTTCTTCCCAAAGTATCAATGATCTCTTCATTGCCAAATCTTATTGGATTTCTTTTCAGCCCTAATCCTTCTTGACTTCTCTGCTGCCTTTGAAACTGGTCACCACCCTCTCCTGCATACTCTCTTCCCTGGGTTTTTGTGACATTACTCTCCTGGTTCACCTGATTATCTCCTTTATTGCCTTTGATAGCTCATCATCCTTATCACACATCATATGTGTAGGTGTCTCTCAAGGTTCTAACCTAGCCCCTCTTTTCTCTACATTCTTGGTAAGCTCTCATGGATTTAACTAACATTTCTGCAGATGATTCTCTAATGTCTCTCTATCCATCTATCCTACTCAACTTTGGATTTGAGCTTGAGATGTCTCTAGGTCATCCAATTTGAAACGTCCAATAAGCAATGAGTTATGGAGGGACTGATGCTCAGGGGAAGAGACCAGGGTATTGGTAGGAAGACACACACTTCCCAATGATCCAGCAATATTATTCTTCCCAGTTCTTCTCATGCCATACTCTGATCCCTCAGTTCCATGCCTTATCATTACCTATCCCCCATCTTTAAAATGCTTTCTCTCCTCACCTTCACCTTCACTTTCACGCTTCTTTCAAGGCCCAGCTTATATCCTACCTTCTGGAGTCTTCCCAGGCACTGCTAGTTCCTTCATTGAGATTACATTCAATTTTTGCTGAATATATGCATAACTCATACACACCATTTCTCACATGGTCTCGCCCATTAGAATGTGAACTCTTTGAGGGCAGAGGCCTATCTCCAATACCTAATATAGTACCTTGGCACATAGTAAGCACTTAATGTTGTTGACTGTTGGTGAATTCTCTTTATTTTTCTGCAGAGTATAAGTTGATTTCTCCTCAAGTTAAGACTTACCAGTAAATAGAGCACCGGCCCTGAAGTCAGGAGGACCTGAGTTCCAATTCAGCCTCAGACCAAACACTTGACACACTTAGTAGCTGTGTGACCCTGGGCAAGTCACTTAACCCCAATTACCTTTAAAAATAAAAACTTACCCTCCTGGCCTAAGGACTTTATACCTGTTCCACAGTTCTTTTACCTTTATTATTTTATTTATTTGCCATCTGGTTTGGATTCTCTTCTCTCCTGTAAGTCATTGTCTTCCTTATTACTGAGCCTTTTCTATCATCCTTTTGGGAAACACTTTGCTGATAATCTGCTGTAAAGTAGAAAGGGATTTCTCCTGCCTTTTTACATCCTACTCTAGCAAAAACTTACTCTGCACTAATTTCACATGTAGTGCTGTATGGAGCAGGAAAACAAATGTGGTTTGATCCATGTAGGTCATCAGAACAGTTCTTAACCTCCACAGCTATTGAATTCTAGATCCTTTTAACTTTTATCTATTTGTTAACTACTCTAGATTGACGATGACCTCTATCCCTCTCAAAGGAATTCTAATTTATCCTGGAGCTTAACCACTCTAGGGGTACAATTTCTACAAGGTCTAGTCTATGGATACCAGTTTTCGCTTCACTTTTCTCTCCCTGGAGATAGTCACTCAATTTTTATGAACTTCTAGGGCTGGAAAACAGACATTAATACTTAGCCTCAGGCAGTAAATATCTAAATTATCCAGGACAGATGATTTTCTATTCTTTTTTTAAAAAAAATACTTTCTATCTATTCAAATAGTGAAGACTCTTGCCTCTCATTCCCTTAGTTATGGCCAGAAATTTAATTCTGTTGTACAGTTCCACAGTATTCCCTCCTTAGCAGGTTGATGCAATAACCTCTCTTGGGTTCTCTTTACATTTCTTGTATACAGGTTTTTCCTAAAGGACTCAAGAGCATCTGATATCAGTCATTTGTACTCATAGCAGGTTAAGTCAAAAGGTCAATTCTTTTATATGTCATTTCCCCTATACGTACTTCTATTTTAAATCTTGTTTCTAATTGAGAAATGGAAGATTTTATCATATTAAGCGAATTTTTAGCATACAATATTTTGAAGCTACAGAAAAGAAACAAAATCACTTAGAGCTGAAATACTACACATTCCATAGATTAAACGCAAATTTTTATAGATGTCTCTAAGTAAAAGATAAGTGTTGTGAGGAATCAGTGAATGAAGATAATAGACCCAGCAAGTACAACAAAACCAGTACTCAAAAATGCTTACGTGGTAGCTCCGAAACTGACAAATACTCAAGGCAGCATGACTTCACTCTCTGTGTATTATTTTAATATAAACTACATTTCTATTTACAAATATACAGATTACAAATGTGGTATAAATATACACAAAATACTAAAATATCTTTACAATTATCTTCACTTGGGAAATCTGATTCTGTAAAAATCAGATATTTATGATTAAGACACTGAATACGATTATCAATAGATGTCAATTTTCCAATCTCACGATTAGCAAAATCCTTTGAAATGCATGATACTATCAGTTATCAAAAGAGAAGAATATTTGGCAAATTGTATGATTCTCCTTATACTATGACTAAAAGCTTCAATAAGAAAATGTTAGTTAAAGGCTCTGACTTGAGAAAACTGTGGAAGATAAAGGATTGTTCATTCTCTTGCCGGTCAATCTAACAATGATTATATATTTATTATATTAAGATCCTTAGATATAAAATAGTTCAGTATGATTACACATACATTTTCTCTACAATGCTTCAAAATTATTTGTATTAACTTCTTAATTACTTATTATTAATTATTGTTAGTATTGATCTGACATGAATACCTCAACTAGAACTAAACAGAAATATAAAATTTGATAATAGTCCACAGTCAAATGCTATTTGAAGATTAAAAGCTTTATGAAATATAAAAATATACACATAGCACAGGAAAACACTGGAGTCTTCTTTTATTTACAAGAATACTGTCCGAATAAATATGAGCAACCTTTGAAAGTTTTACACAAAAATATCGATCCATTAAGTCCAAAAAATCCAAATTAAGTGGAATAGGAGTAACACTATTAATATCATTTCCCCACCTAGACATTAATTTGTAACATCAAAATTACATCTATTGATCATAACTGATGATTCCTTTTCAGTAGGTTAAACAAGTCAATTGTTGTTAAGCTATCTTTATATAAAGATATAATTCATGGAAGTGTAACAGTTTACTTCAACCATGAAATTCCATGAAAGTGACCATGACAACAAAAAAAGATGTTACCTGAGAATATGGAACATTTGCAACATCACTGCCTTCTGATGGCCATCATACCCCAACTCAAACAAAACAAATTTTTCATCTTATTGCAGATGAAATGGTGAATTAAGAAATACATACATTATATCATGTTTATTGGTTGATTATACAGCTATCATATTTGCTTAATGCACAACTGGTTGAAGAAGTTAATTTCTTTCCTATTCTACATAAAATTCCAGCTAGGCTTAATGCTGCAGATAAAGCCCTTGTATCACTTCCAAACAAACAGGAGCATCTCATGAATCAATTCTCATTTGCAGCAATGGATACTGTTTTCTCTGTGGAGAGCTTTTCGGTCTTTTTCTCTTCAGTACTATGTTAGTGGTTTTGCTGGCATTAGTCTCTGTTGGGTTGGTTTCTATTTGTGTTATAAAGCTCTCAGGTTTTACAGCTTCTTTCGTGTGGCTGCCAGAGAAAACTTCTTGGTGGATCCTCTGAAGTTGTAGAATAGGCTGCATCGTTAGAACTGTGGAGAACCCATCTGCTTGCTCAATCAACACTGGCAAGGACTTAAAAAAACAAAATAATGATACTTCAATTTAATTCTCAGTGAAAGAAAAACACAACACCCTAGATTCCACACCTATCAGGCTACAGCCATTCTAGGAAAAATATGATGAGGTCACTACTGATAGGGTATTTTCTTCAATTTACCAAGAGACTGCATCAATGCTAGCTGAGAAACTGCAGTAATAAGCTATAAAACCTGGATAAATGAATACTTGAAAATAAGCTTATAAAAAAATCAGCTCGAGGAAAGTTCTACAGTAATCTGTAACACTATGTATTTTTTTGGACCTGGGAACATAATCATGAAAGAAATCACTGAAAGAAAAAAAAAAACACAAAGGTAATGCCAATATTGAAGCACTTAGTTTACTGGGAAGACACATTTTACAACTTTCCACTGGAAAGATGGGCATCTATTCTTTAACAATACAGGCAGGTAAAAAATTTCAGAACCAAGGGTATGGAATCTGACAGGTGTTTCAGATAACAACCTCAAGTTAGTTAGATATCTAAGAGATTTAATCCACTGCATGCAAGCACCAAAAGGAAGTTACGGTTTTTTCAGGCAATCAGTTTAAATCACATCAGAGATTAAAAGATTTAAAGCTAACCTCTGAAGCTGCCACAAACCGAAGCAACAGTTAATACTCAACCAAGAGAGATATTGAATAGTCAAATTTCTAATAAAATATTATATAAAGAACTTTTCAATTCATTTTATATACTTTAAGTTCCAGGGAGTTTGTGTTTTTTTATTTTGGATGAAGTAATTCAATAAGACAAGCTATGATAGTATTGTGAAGATCAATCAACAACCAGTGGTCAGAATGACCACTGACCATGGAGTCAAACCTTAACTGCCTGTTAGAGTCAGCTGGTGGTACAATGGATGGAGCGCTGGGCCTGGGATCAGGAAGACCTGAGTTTAAATCTGGCCTCAGACACTTACTAGCTGTGTGACACTGGGCAAGTCACTCAAACTCTGCCTCAGTTTCTTCAACTGTAAAATAGGGATAATAACAGCTCCTAATTCCCTGGGTTCAAATGAACCCAGACCAAATGAAATATTTGTAAAATGGCAGGCACAGAGCCTGGCATATAATCAGTACTATATAAATGTTTATTCCCTTCCTTTCCCCATCTTCCCCTCTTACACAAATGCAGAAAAATCAAGTAAAAAAAAAAAAAAGCTCCTGAGAATTTCTGCAAAAACAGACTCTAAAAATACGTGTCATGAATTTTCAAAGAGACCCCCAAGTCACATATCTTCCATTTAAAAGCAGCATATGGCTTTTACCTTCATTACTTCAGTAATCTGCTTGGTAGCTGTTTCTCCTCTGCATTTCAAATTTTCCATGTGAGATTCTGCAACGAAAGCCCCAAATACCACTTTATTTCTTTTTCAAAAGAAAACACACTGAATAAAAGACCACTGGAAAATTTCTTAACAGGTATTCACCTTAATTTGATATTTTTACGATGCTAATATTGACTAAATTAAAAATTAACTACCCAAGGCTACAAAAGATTTTATGCCATCATAATAAAATTAACAGTGGCAAATACAAGTGGCAGATTGCAATAGCTATACAAAGATGAATCTTTAGAATATAAGCACATAAAAGGGCAGGGAATCATGTTTTTTTATGTTTTTTTAAACGGCAGCTATTAGAACATGCAGCACATTGTGGTAATGATACAACACTGCTTAAGAGTGATCAAATTTTAAGGAAATATGTTAAAATGTGAGTCAAAAATTAGTAATAATATTTAAATTTGGTCTTTTCCTTCCATATATAAATCGACTCCTTACACAAATAACCAACATTTGAATTTGACATGCAAAACCCCACACAGAACAGAATTTCCAGTTATATTAACACTGTTATTTGTTCCTTGTCCCTCATTGGCTAAATCTCTTTTTAATTCTGGGGCCAGGTTTTTCCCCCTTACATTTTCTGTCTCAGCTTAGTCACTTACTAGTTTTGGACTAGTTACCACCTCTTCATGCTGCAAGTTCCTCATCTACATTCCTTGCATATAACAAGAACTATAAAACAATATTTGTTGAATAGTATTGAATTTCTTTCAAGAAATTATCAAGGAAAACTGCCCTGATATTCTAGAACCAAAGGGTAAAATAGAAATTGAAAGAATCCACAGATCACCTCCTGAAAGAGATCACCAAAGGAAAACTCCTAGGAATATTGTAGCCAAATTCCAGAGTTCCCAGGTCAAGGACAAAATACTGCAAGCAGCCACAAAGAAATAATTCAAGTATTGTGGAAACACAATCAGGATAACACAGGATTTAGCAGCTTCTACATTAAGGGACCACAGGGCTTGGAATATGATATTCTGGAGGGCAAAGGAGACAGATAGGATTACAGCCAAGAATCACCTACCCAGCAAAACTGAGTATAATCCTTCAGGGGGAAAAAATGGTCATTCAGTGAAATAGAGGACTTTCAAGCATTCTTGATGAAAAGGCCAGAGCTAAATAGAAAATCTGACTTTCAAATACAAGACTCAAGAGAAGCATGAAGAGGTAAACAGGAAAGAGAAATCATAAGGAACTTATGTTTACATTCCTCCATGGAAAGACATTTGTAACTCATGAGACCTTTGTCAGTATGAGGATAGTTGGGGGCGGGGATATTATATGTATAGATAGATAGAGGGCACAGGGTGAGTTGAAGATGAAGGGGTGATATCTGGAAAATAAAATTAAGGGGTGAGAGTGGATTATACTGGGAGAAGAAGAAAGGGAGAGGTAGAATGGGGTAAATTATCTCACATAAAACAGACAAGAAAAGGCTTTTATAGTGGAGGGGAAATGGGGGAAGGTGACAGGGAATGAGTGAATCTTATTCTCATTGGATTTGGCTTAAGGAGAGAATAATATACACACACTCAATTAGGTATGGAAAGCTATTTTACCCTACAGGAAAATAGGGGGCAAGGGGATAAGGGAGTATGGGGATGATAGAGGGGAGGGTAGACTGGGAGAGGGGTAATCAGAAGCAAACACTTCTGAGGAGGGACAGGGTCAAAAGAGAGAACAGAATAAACGGGGGGGATAGCATGAAGGGAAATATAGTTAATTTTCCACAGCATGACTACTATGGAAGTGTTTTGTATGACTACACAAATATAACCTGTATAGAACTGCTTGCCTTCTAAATGAAGGTGGGTGGGGAGAGAGGAAGGGAAAAAATTTGGAACCCAAAGTTTTAAAAACAAATGTTAAAAAATTGTTTTCACATGCAACTGGGAAATAAGATATATAGGCAACGGGGTATAGAAATCTATCTGCCCTACAGGAAAACAGAAGAGGAAGGGGATAAGAGAAGGGGGGGGGGGAAGATAGAAGGAAGGGCAGATTAGGAGAAGAGGTATTCAGAATGCATACTGTCTTGGGGTTGGGGGAGAGACAAGATGGGGAGAAAGTCTGGAACTCAAAGTCTTGTGGAAGTGAATGTTGAAAATTAAAAATAAATAAATAAATTAATGAATCTTAAAAAAGAAAAAGGAATTAAATCTATAAATTGAAGCAATTTGTCTAGATGGGGTGGGAGGAAGATCTTAATCTTGCTCTTAATAGGTTTCAAGGAAATCCACAAACTTGGATTTACACCTTTATTTTCATTAACCTTTAACTGAAATTTTTCATTTCTTACAATTATGATTTTAAAAACAAAACCCAAAGAAAACCATATTTTGAGAAAGAGTCTATAGGTTTCACCTACAGACTGCTAAAGTCTGCTAAGGATGTTCAACTTAAGACCCTCTGCACTAGATGATCTATAAAGACCAAAAGCATTCTATGACTTTAAACTTCTTTAGAAAGACAGACGACAATGGTGAATTACAAGCACATTCATGTTCAAGAAAAATCAGCATATGATCAAAACAAGTTCTTTCACAGAAACCAGTTTTGTTTTATTTTCTCTTCCATCAGTCTCTATCCTGTATAGCCTGGATATACACTCAAGGAATAAAAGGAAATGGGTGAGAACAATTAAAAGAGAGTGCCTTATAAGTACATTTAAATTTCAAGTTGTTGTTTGTCCTTCACGGTGGAAGAGGACCAAAATGACACCATGACGTTGGGTCAATGTAGAGTGTGTCTGGCTGTGGCTGATCATACCAATATGAGCTAGAAAGATTCTACTACCAGCTGGACACAAATAGTCCACATGACCATTTGGGAGGGAGATATCTCTAAATTTGCACATCTTATATTTCTTTTGAGCTACTATAATTGTGTTTGTTTATAGAGCACAGCACCATCTTTGATGTGGAAATGCCATCCTGTGGCATTTTATGCCATCATTTATATATGTCATATAAAAATGTGATTCTGTGCCCATGTGTCCCATGTCTCATAATCAATACCAAAGTTCTTCAGAGAAACCTTGAGAGTGTCCTTGTATCACTTCTTTGGACCACCATGTACAAAGGTATGTTTAGCACTTGGACAGTGTGGCCAGCCCATCAGAGTCAAACTCTCTTCAATAGCGCTTGGATGCCTGGCAATTCAGCTAAAGAAAGGACCTCGGTGTCTGGTACTCTGTTTTGCCAGGTGATCTTCAGAATCTTCCCAAGACAATTAAAATGGAAGCAGTTCAATTTTCTGCCATGGCATTGGTAGACTGCCCAGATTTCACAGGCATACAACAACAAGTCATCGCAACAGCTCTGTTGACCTTCAGTTTGGTAAGCAGCCCAACATCTCTTCTCTCCCACATATTCTTTCGGAGCCTCCCAAACGCTGAGCTAGCTCTACGTGTATGTCAACCTCATCATCTATGTGTACATCTCTGGAAAGGATGCTGCCAAGTGAACGTATTCACAGCATTCAAAATTTCTCCATTTGCTGTAACTGATGGTTCCACATGTAGATGGGGTGGTGCTGGCTTGTGAAAGGCCTCTGTTATTTGGTGTTAATTGTCAGGCCAAAATTAGCACACAGAGCAGAGAACTGAACCATGCTTTGGTGCACCTCAGCCTCAGAGGCGGCACATGATCACTTAAATTAATCAATGGTCACAAGCAAACTTAAAAAACAAACCACACGTGCATGAAAAAAGACTAAATTTCCAAGATAGGAAGAAAATTCCTTCCTGACAAAAAAAAGTTGAAATGAAAAATTGGAAGAGAAACTATTATTTTCTGAATGAAATTGATCAAAATGACTTTTTTATTAGAGATTATACTTCAGCAATAAATATGAGAAACTATATTTCAAAACTATTAAGTGCCTTCTGCATTTAATTTTCTCTTCCACCATGACTTCTGCAGCATCCTTTAATTCAAATATTCTTCAATTAAAGCATTTAATTTAAATATGCAGGTGATTACATTAAATTCTAAAAGAAAAGTCCAAATGTATACACTTTTCACTAGACAGAAGACCTTTCATATTAGGAAAACTTCTATTAAATCTCTTTCCTTAAAGAGCTTAAATAACCCCCTACAATCTTTTTATTTAAGGTACAGGTAACACCATAAACTTAGGAACAAGACCTAAATATAGTCAAATATCCAACTCATACCATGACAGAAGATAGACTCCCTTAGGAGAACAAGTATTTTTGGTATTGCTATATTCCTATCTTGGTGTGGTGGTGGTAGGGTGGAAAAAATGTTCACAGTGCATCTGTCTTCTCAGCTAGGATCATACAATAGGTAAAAACGTAAATGTTGACCAGGTTAGGTTAGCAAGTTAACCCACAAAGATCCATTTAACTCATAATATTTCTGAAATATAGCACATGCAATAGCATTGCATTATTCACCATGCCTAGAATGCCCCCTCCTCACTTCTACCTTGCAGAATCCTTGGCTTCCTCTAAGGCTCGAGTGTAACCTCCTAACAAGAGGCCAATCCTGATTCCCCCAATCACTTTGTAATTATTCTGTATATAATTTCTATTTACTTATCCATGTTCATGTTATCTCACCTGCCCCCCACTCCTACCCTACAATTAGCCCCCTTAGGACTTCTATCTTTCCAGCCTAGTACCTGGCACATAGTAAGCACTAATAAAAGTTTGCTGAATTAAACTATGGGTTAAACAGGCTTTTGTAGGGAACCAAACTGCCATTTTTACTCTTCCTACATGGGAATGAATTTTGAATCTCAAACAACCAGTTTACAAATAGACTTTTGGAACATAACACATTGCCTGTAAATGATGTGCCAGTGACTTAATAGATTTTGTTATTAAGAAAAGTTAATATATAGATCTAAGACTGTTGCTTGCAATGTCAGCAAAAGAATCAGAAGCATCATGCCCTATTACTGAGAATCAAAGTTAGTTCTTTATATATCACTACATATTCCATTAAGGATTAAGAAG